GAGGTGAACAATGTGACACAAGGTTTGTATTTTGTTGTTTCGTTTTTGTTTTGTTTTTGATACATAATCCGATCCCGATTATGTTTATAAAAATACACAAATAAATGGATAATAAAGTATAGTTTCAATAATATTTATAAATATACACATTTTAATGGCCGTTTCGGGCTTCTTTCTATATAATAAGCCGGAAAATTCACTCATTTCCTAGGCCAATTACCTGCACTAGTTGCTTGGAACTTACTATAGTATTTAAAGAAAATTGGAAAGAAACGTTACCACAGATGGGTTCCCATGGTACTCAGGTTGAAGCCGACACGCTCCTTGTACGCCGCCTTCAGAAATGTAGGCCAGATGCTAAAAATAGACAACTGGATACAAAGAAATTAGGAAACGTACATGGAGATTGCCGGAAATGACACTTTTATATAGTAAAATTCATCACATCACAATAGACCTTTCCGGAGTGTCAATCAAACTTAACAACTGACTAATCAGAACAGCGCTAGGAATACGCGCGGGATACGCGCGCGTCTTACAAACACACGTGTTGTCCCACAAACGCACGTGTTCGCGTATGTTTTAACACTGCCGTCTTGTGGGACCTTAGCAACAATATCCAAGGGGCGGAGCTTAGCGGAAAGGTCCATTATACAGTCAAAATGAAGCGCAAATTCTCATGATCTTTTATCAGCAAGTTTCGGTAACCACAGAGATTTAATAGTATGTGTGATGTACCAGAAATAAAAACTTAAAAACACTGTCTTTGATGTATTTACTTTACATAGGCCTACCGTACTTCAAAGTTGTGAGTCACAACCACCTCAGCCCCACCAATGTTTGGGCTGAACGTTTTACAAATATGTAAAACGTTCGGTAGTTAAAATGTAACTTTATTGCATAGTATTTAAAAAATTCAGATAGGACCTATCAAATTATACAGTAACAAATTAATTCAATACCATAATGCAAACTATGTTTGCCCTACCTGACGTGTTTTTTTTTTATGACTTTTTACTTGCGCACTTGATTTAATAATTTTTTTAAAACATTTTCACCATTATAATTTTTAATAATAAAAACCATAAAAATATTATAGACAATAATATGGTAAAATAATAATAAAGGATGAAAATATAGCATAAGAAAACTTGTATTAATTAATTTGTGGCCGAGTTGACTTGTGGCCGGGTTGACGTTTGGCCGAGTTGACTGTGGCCGAGTTGACTTTGCCTATCACCAGCAGCTGATCCGGACATTGCCCCGGACATTGCCCCGGACGCAACAGACTCAAATCGAGATTCATGAGGGCCGCGGCGTTCACGTTGGGGTTCTCTTAATAGACCTTTCCGGAGTGTCAATCAAACTTAACAACTGACTAATCAGAACAGCGATAGAAATACGCGCGCGTCTTACAAACACACGTGTTGTCCCACAAACGCACGTGTTCGCGTATGTTTTAACACTGCCGTCTTGTGGGACCTTAGCAACAAGATCCAAGGGGCGGAGCTTAGCGGAAAGGTCCATTCATTTGAAATTTGCAGTACAGCACATTCAATAATCTGCTGTATCCCTTGCTGTGCCATTTTCGATTGGTGATGGTCTTTATATATAATGAAATGTAAAAGCAGTTATTTATATATAATGAGTTTGAAGTCAATTCGTTATTTATATAGGCCTATAATGAAATAAGTAAACTTATTATATATAAATTTATATATATATAATAAGTAAACTTATTATATATAAATAATTGTAAGTTACTTTTCATTATATACAAGATACAAGATTCAAGATTCTTTTATTGTCACTGGTACATAAAATAAAAGTAAAATTCGTCTTCCCGATGCAAAAAAAATTAGTATAAAAGTTAGACATATAATAATAAATTAATCGAGGACATAAATAAAACAGAAAATACAAAATGATACAAAATATTATATACCGGTATAACGATTTGTTACCTTTTCATTAATTATATATATAATGGAATCAGCGAACTTATTATATATAAATAATTGTAGTTACTTTTTATTATTTATATATAATGATGTGTTACCCTTTCCTTATTTATATGAAACCATTAACCTTATTATAGTAATGTTTGGTTACCCTTTCATTATTTATATATAATGAAATCAGTAAACTAATTATATATAAATAATGAAAACGTTAACACATTTATGTACATGTAATCTTTTAGATGTAAATGCATTATATATAAATAATGGGTGATCTATTCAATTATATGATAAATAATAAATTATATATAAATAATTGTGTCAAATAATAAATGTACACTTGGCGCCTCATAGAATTGAACATGGGCGTGGTCCGTTACCATTCTACTAACCATGGATACGTAGTATTGTAGCCTTATATTGTCATCATTCCACCACAAAAGGGGTTGAAATCCAATGGGTTCCTTTAAGTACACCCCATCTTACTTTTTACTTGTGTTGTTTGTTTTAGCAGAGACCAGCAAATTCTGTGTTATAATGTTTTGTAT